CCCCCCCCCTTTTTTTTTTTTTAAATATATCTTTATTGATTTCAGAGAGAGGAAGGGAGAGGGAGAGAGAGAGAAAAAAACACCAATGATGAGAGAGTCATTGATCGGCTGCAGCCCGCAACCTGGGCATGTGCCCTGACCTGGAATCGAACCCCCCCAGTCTCTTGGATCCTAGGTCGATGCTCAACCGCTGAGCCACGCCCAGCTGGGCAGGACCTTCCCTTTTAAGCAGACCTCCCCCTCACCTCCTGTGCATACATCTCCTTGCTGTAACCTGGTCACATTGCTACATCTAGCTGTAGGAGAGGCTGGGAAATAAAACTGTGCCCCTTTGAAAATGGGGGCTCCACTGGAGGGATCTCTCATCATGTCACATCCTGCAGCACTTAATCTTCCACAGCTTTTTCTCCCTAAATTAACTTTGATACCTGTTTATCTTCATGGTTGAATGTACTCATTTTTAACTATTTTAGCAGATAATATACCATTTGGGTAAGTTTCTCCTCCATTAGGCTGGTTGTGTGAGGGCCCATGTTGGGCCCATAATTGGCACTCTGAGATGGGAGCCACCATACTGTCATTTTGCCAGCGCAGACAGTGGGGGCAGGCCCTTGACACCTCCTCTGCACCTTTTCCTTTGTTCTTCATCGCCACTTTGTACAGGAGGCACTGTGAGGAATGACTCGTCACAGCAGGCCAAGACGAGACCAGATCTCCAGTAGACTCTCTTTTCTTCAAGCCTGGGTGGAGCAGGAATCGGGCATTGTTGTAGGGGCTGCTCTTGTAAACACATCCTGCTAAGAAATAGTATAAAATCAAGACAGGAGTGTTGGCTGTGGGGATGCTTGCATCGTTGTGAGGAGCTGTTACTCAGCCACAGGTTCTTGACTCACAGTTTTAGAGAAAGATGAATTTAAGTCTTGTCCACTTTGCCAACCCAGATGCCCAATGTGTCTCTCACAGGGTCTACCCAACAGGCTTCAGAGGCAGTGAGAGGCAGCAGTAGCCACCTGGACAGTGGCGACAGTTTGACTTGGCACGTTCTTTTGAGAACTGTTGTTTTGGCCTGGGCGGGGTAGCTCAGTTGGTTAGAGCATCGTCCTGATATGCCAAGGGTGCAGGTTCGATCCCTGGTCAAGGCACATAAAAGAAGCAACCAGCCCAGCCGGGCGTGGCTCAGCGGTTGAGCATCAACCTAGGATCCAAGAGATCGGGGTTCGATTCCCAGTTGGGGCACATGCCCGGGTTGCGGGCTGCAGCTGATCAATGGTTCTCTCATCTTTGATGTTTCTCTCTTTCCCTGTCCCTTCCTCCCTCTGAAATCAATAAAGATATATTAAAAAAAAAAAAAAAAA